ATGATCGAGCCAACCTTCCTCCATTATCTTTTACTGAAGTGACTATTCGGGGACCAAGGTCGAATTCTATTGAAAACAAACAACTCAGAGTTGAAAAAAGAAGAGAACTACAACAGTTTTTGGACTCTGGAATGCAGGTCGTCTTCGTTGACGAAAGTCATTGGAGAGTCGGGAACGTGAGAAGTCGTATGTGGGGAGAACGAGGAAAAAAACACATTCGAGAACAACCACTCAGTACTTTTAATTTATCATGTATATGTGCTATTAGTGACACGGGATCAAAGTATTGTAAATTGTTTAATACAATTGTTAATAGCGACATTTTTATTCAATATTTTAAGGCTCTTGTTGATGTATTTACCGCTGATGGTAATAATATCGTATTCGTAATGGACAACGCTTCAATTCATTTGAATCAACTTGAGATTTATGCGGAATCCAAGGGATGCAAAGTAATGTTCAATGCACCTTATAGTCCAGAATGTAATCCAATTGAAATGATATTTGGAATTTGGAAAACTCGAGTGGGAAATTTGGTTAATGTAACGATATTGGATATGGTGCAAAACATTTCTAGTTGTTTCGAAAATATTACCCCAGCAGAAATACGCAGAGTTATAACACACTTTATTTCGGTGGTGACAAGAAAAGTGTTTGCAATGGAAGATTTATAATCGTATTTTCGTTTACTGTTTTTTTGTTTATTATTGTAATTATTACTACGTTCTTATTATAATAAATTAAAAGATATTTATTAAAACTTCATTTAACTAGTGATTTGTAATTATTTGTTTAGAAACAATAAAAACCATTTATGAAAACATTCTATATTTTTTTGAAACAATAATTAATAATTATGGCACAGATATTTCTTTTGAGACAAACTCGTTTTATATTGCAACAAATTTATTATATATGATACAAAATTATTCTTTATGAAACAGGTTTGATTAAAGGTACAAAAATAATTGTTGTGAAACAGAAATCGATTTGTTGTGAAAAATTGCTAATCGTTTTGAAACTAACTGTACCAATTAAAAAAATAAGACGCAAAAAAAGACGGTTAAAAAAATTGACATTTTGGTCATTGGTTTTGTTTATT